CTAATGGTGATTACGAGGAAGTGAGGGGTCTTTCTACAACTATTAACAAGCTATTGAGTGTCCTTGTGATAGTAAAATTGCAGAAATGAAACACTCATTGGAGGAGGACTAGCAAATTCACAATGCGAAAAAGAAGAAAAAATAGGTGATAGAAGTGCAAAATTTACAAAAAGCCTCAATTTCAGTGGAACTAGGAGGCACTGCTAATGTAAAGATTGGTTCCCCTCTCAACCCTCTAGAGGCAGAACTAGATCTAGATCACATCGCTCCCTCCATCCTACTCCACAAAATGATTAATCCTCTTTGTTGGAACATTAGAGGAATTTCCCACCCTCTGTCCCTTGAAAGAATTTTCCATCTTAATAAAAAATACATACTTTGGTGCATTGTTATTCTTAAGCCCATGGTTCATAAGTATCCTCATAGACTCACTAGTAAGTTCCCCAATTTTTCTCATCAAGCTAATATTAATAATAATATTTGGATTGTTTGTAGAAATGAGATCACTTGAAACATTCAGGTGGATCATTAGCAATTTGTACACCTCTCTTTTCAGATCAATGGACATTTGGGCTATGCCACTTTTATTTATGCAGGTTGCCATAAGGATGACAGAAAGGAACTTTGGTCTTGCCTCAACCAGATTAGCAAGCATATGCACTCCCCTTGGTTAGGGGGTGGATTTTAACTGCATTACCTCTTCAGCTAAAAAATCAGGGGGTAGGGTCTCGAACATCTCCAAAATGACCACTTTCAGTGATAATATGCATCAGGCAGGTTTGTTTGACCTGGGTTTCAAGGGACCTTCTTTCACTTTGAAGAGGGGGCCTACTTGGGAACGACTAGATAGAATAGTGGTGAATGATCAGTGGTTTTTCCAGTTCCTCCTTACTTTTGTTACTCATCTTACTCTAGCTGGATCTGATCACAGACCTTTACTAATCTCCATAACCTCTCATTTAAATCATGAGTAGCCCACCCCTTTCAGATATCTCAACATGTGGTCCCCCCACCCTTCTTTCCTTAACATTGTTTTTAAGAATTGGAATGTTGTTAACCACCCAGAGCCCTTGGAAAAAATCAGCCTTTTGCATATTAGAGTTGGTAGAGCTTTCAGGAAGTGGAGTTGGGATGCTTTTGGTAATGTGCACAGTGCTGTGGATTCTGCAGAGAAAGATGTGGAGAGGTTAGAACATAAGGTTCATAATGGATATGCAGTGGAAAAAACCCTTCTTACCACACAGAATAACCTTTTTATTGCTATTGAAAATCAAGAACAATTTCTAAAATAGAAGGCATTCATTAACATCTTTACTGATGGGGATAGAAATACTAAATTTTATCATGCCTAAATTAAATACAGGAGGAAATGCAACACTATCCACTATATACAGACTGCTGAGGAGAGTTGGCTACATGAAAATTCTATTATTGCCAGAAATGCACTCTTCTCCTATAATCAACTTTTGAACCAAATCCCTGCAAATAGGCCCACTGTGGATGGCACATACTTTACAGCAGAGCTTACCTTTACCAGAAACCTAGTACTCACTGATCTCCCCACTGAAAAGGAAATTTGGAAGGCACTGAATTCTATTGATAATTCCAAAACTGTAGGGCCTGATGGCTTCACTGCAAATTTTTACAAGAAATCCTGACAAATCATCAAACTGGATGTTATTGCTACTATTGACAGTTTTTTCCAAGGCAACAACCTCCCCAACTATTTCAGTGAAGCTAATTTTGTTATGGTGCCTAAATTTGATATACAGAAAAATTGGGACCACTACTGGCCTATTTCTCTCACCTCTGTGATCAGCAAAATCATTAGCAAAGTTATTATGAGCAGACTCCAGCCTCATCTTGATAAGCTGATCAGTCCCAGCTAAACTACATTTGTTAAGGGTAGGTCCATCACTGATAATGTATTGCTTGCATAGGAGATGTTTTTAGATCTAGATAAGACTTGTAGAGGAGGGAATCTGATTTATAAATTGGATATTAAAAAGTCCTATGACACTATAAATTGGGATTTCGTCTTGGAAATTCTATCTGCCAGAGGTTTTCAACTTGCTTTTTGTACCCTCATTCACATATGTTTGATTAATAATGGGCATTCTATTCTTATTAACGGGCAAGCCAAGGCATCTTTCACTGCTACTAGAGGCTGAAGCAAGAGATCAATTATCACCTACTATCTTTATACTTGCTATGGATTACTAGTCCATAGTTCTTGACAAGTCTCTTTTAACCCAGAGTTACTTTAGGTACCATCACAGATCAAACATGGTCATTTCACATCTATTTTATGTTGATGATATCATGGTGTTTTCTAGTGCCCATAAAAATGCTGTTAAAAAAGTTTATCACTGCCTACAGGACTTCCAATCTCACTCTGGCCGGATAAGTGTCAACTTATATTTAATCAAAGATCTTCCCCCAACATTAAGTAGTAGATTTCCTACTATATAGGATTTTCCATTTCTCAACTCCAAATCAAATATCTTGGTGTTCTCATAATAAGTGGCAAATCCAAGCAGATCTAATTTGATGCAGTCCTTCATAAAATCACCACTTATCTCTCAGGTTGGACCCAATCTTTCCTATACAATGGTGGAAGAATTAATTTGCTTAAAAGTATTCTCACAACCTTCCCTTCATACATACTACATATGACAAATATGAAGAAAAGCACCCAATTACAACTGGGGAGGGCATTTAACAGGTTTTTGTGGTCTGGTCAAAAACAGCAACTCCATTGGGCTTCATGGCAGAAGGTAGCCAAACCTACTTTGGCTGGGGGGTATTGGGTTTAAAGGGCTCTAATTGGAGAACTTTCCACACTTTACTGTCCACTGACGACATCCTTAAGTTAAAGGGTTTAAAGAGCCCTTCTAGATGTTGGTTGTGCATGGAGAAGGAGGAAAACATCCCTCACCTTATTTTTAAATGCAAATTTACTCAGGATGTCTGGGCTGAACTTCTAAAATAGCTAACCTTGGATGAATCATTTTTCACTAGTCCCACATACATACTTGTTGGCACAGCTGAAAAGCCAAAAACTATTAATCTATTCCCTTCATGGTGGTTTGGTTCTTATGGATGTCTAGGAATCATGCCAAATTTGATGGCAAACCTCCACAGATTGCACAGGTGGTGATAAATTGTGTATCTTACCTCTCCAAAATGATTCAGCACAAAAGATTTCCTAATGTATGTAACTCCCATCATATTGCAAGAATGGCTTCTCCCTTGATTTATAAAGTGTATTGGAGACTCCCTCAACCTCTTACTGTAAAAATTAACACTGATGGAAGCTTTAATGATATGGGTGCTGGTGTGGGAGAGGTTTATAGAAACCACGCTAGTCAGTGCCTATTATTTTTTCATGCCCTATCTACTGATGTTCTTGAGGTAGAACTTATTGCTGTCTTCTAGGCTCTAACCCTTGCTGTTAAAACTTATTGGTTACATCTTTGGGTTGAGGTGGATTCCACTTTGCTCCTTAGACAGCTGGAATTGGAGTAGCAATCCACATGGTATCACACCCAATGGATCCAGAAGATCAAATTACTTAAATCTCATCTTAATGTCCATTTCACTTTCAACTACAGGGAAGGAAATAAACCTGCAAATTGGCTTGCTAGATATGGGCTTCATACCAATTCAATTTATGTTGCTGTTCACCCCCCTCCCATCCTTTTTGCTTAATGGGGACACTCATGATGTACCTCATTTCAGAATTGTTGCCTACAACACCTACAGGAACTATTGTTTACCCTTCTCCCTGGAGCAGTTGGCCGATTGGTCTCCCTGATGGCTCTGTTATTTGAGTGTTTTTCTTCCTCTTGTATTTTCTTTCTTTTTGTTTGTAGTTGTATTTTTGGAAGTGGAACCCACAGGCTTCGGTTAGATGGGATCCTTTCTTCCTCTTATTTGTTGGGTTTTCTCCATTTTGGTTAACATGTAGGGAGTATATATATATATTGTTGCATTATTTTAAAATGATTGGGCAATATAAACATGGAGTTCTAAAAGTGAACTTTTTTTGTGTTTATTCTCTTTTATTATGCATCATTTGGATTCCTTTAATTTTTCTCAATTATTTATAGAATTGATAAAAAACTTAGCATTTGTAAGTCACTTTGTTCTACTAGTTCTTTTAGACTTTTGTTCATGTTTCAATTTTTCTTCTCTATCTTAGAATTCATCTTTGTTAGATTATATCTAATATGTATACAATATGACATTATGTGGGTAGTTTATTTACATACATGATTTATTCAATTGCGTATTTATTTAGATTTGTAAAATTAATTATTGAAATTTTTATATGAAAATATAGAAACTCATTCAAATTTTAAGTTTGCTTAAATAGTCATTCACTAATCATAAACAAATCAAGTTCAATTATTGAATAATTTAACAAGTCAATCTTGCACAACATTTGAAAACTCTTAACACAAGTTCAATCCAAACTTAAACTACTTATAATCATATCAAGCCAAATTCAATCTATAATATACTCAGCTCGATTACAGCCCCAACTACTTACTTTATATGACCGGTACATATTGCTTGTCCTCTAATTGGGAAATTAAAAATAAAATTAAAAATAATAGAACCACTCCGCATTCTTTGGTTTATTCACATTTAATATAACACTAAATCAAATTTTATTGTTATCACTGTATAACATAACATTTTACTTATATATTTTGACTCCTATTAGATTGTATCAAAATCAAATTGCATTTAGTCATAAATTATTTATTGTCCAAAAGCATAGTTGTTAAAGCACCTGTATTTACTTTAAATGATATTATACTTTTAATATAGAAAGCAATTACAGCACCATTCGCTACCATATTAAGGCCAAACCAAGGCCTTGAAAAAGACTCGTTTAACTTGATCTCCTATGGCTTGATAATTAGCTTGAGTTTGATTGATCTTTATAAGCTCGTTAGTTTAATAAACCAAATATGCACAAAATCTTATCAAAGCACATTCAGCCCAACAGTAATTTAGTTATATTTACATATAGATGAAAATATGCAATGTATATGAATTATACATTTTTTTATGAATAATTTAGTCAGACAAATTGTCTAAACATGGAAGCAAATCTAGCCAGACAACTTGAGCTTGATGAAACATCGATGGTTTATTTCCCTAGACCAAATTCATTGCAAATAAATATTCATGGCAAGAAAGACATTTTTTCACCAGTCGAATTTATGAATCAATACAATATTTGTGGAAAATTATTATTTCATCTGACAAAAATTCATGGCAAGAATTGAATTAGGTGAAAAAGAATTATTTTTTTCTCATTTCTTTTTTTTATTTTTTATTTTTATTTTTCAAATTTAGCGTTTGAGACGGAAATCAAACGTCCTTCTCGGACAAAAGTGGCTCGGAGTAAGAGTTGGTTTCCTCACCTTGCTTCCATAGGCTTTGCAGGAAACTGTACTGTTTCCTGGGCGTTTGGTCTGAGTTATGAGACACCAATCCGTGCAGCTTTTGCACCCGTTGGAGGCAGATTTGCACGGCATCATGAACTCTAACAAAGCACCACTCTTTACCGAGAATATCAAGTAGGCCAGATTTGAATAGAGAGAGATGAACTTCTCTGCTGGGATTTGCAATTAAAATCTGCACATTAAACAAAATTTCAAGGCTAGGATCCTCAATAATGCTGGTATTATAGTTATACCTACAGCATATTGAAATTAGTGAAAAAAATTTTGGTCTAGATGTTGTGATTAAAGAGAAATTGTGGATGAATCTCGAACTCGAAGGCTTTAAATCTGCTTTAAAATGGGTGCAGCAGTAATTATGCTGATATAAATATTGTTCTTGAAATTGTATGAGAGAGAGAAATGATAACCTGGATGCCCCGTGATTTGTACTCTTGATGTAACTCCTTGAGTGCTTGAATGGCGCTTGAATCCACATATGTAACAGCTGCAACAAATAAAATCTCAATAAGCTAAATATCCACATCGACCTGGCCTAAAATGGAAGGATTCTTAGAGGCTTTTCTGGAAAGCAGATTCCTGAATTTATTATTTTCGATTCAGTTATAAGAAAAAACTTTTAATCAAACACTTCATATTGAAAAACGAATTTTTCAAATGATCGGAATGCGGAAATACTGTCATTTATAATAAATTTAAAATTGAATTGATCAATATCTTGCTTTCTCCATTCTCGGACAACTTAATAGATAAAATCTATGAGTTATTCAACATTGGCCGTTTGAACAATGTAAATAAGAATCTTAATTTTGCGTATAAACAGTTTGGCATATATTTAGAAAAATAAATAAATAGGCTGGGATAGCATAAATGTTTTAGTTTATACCAATTAGAAGTTTTCATAACACATTGAACTACATCATACAACGATCATTTTGTTTACATGTCTTTTTGAATTACAAATGTATTCCTCAAATGAAAAGAACAATAAAATAGACAGCTTGTTTGGGGCGAAGGTTTTCCTGTACTGTGATTTCGTACCGCAATTTGTGGTGTTTGTTTACCGCGGCGCAACCGCAGTCTAATTAATTTTATGGAAAATGCGGGCCACGAATCGAACCCAAGACCTGCGTTCCTAACTGTTACTTTTCCTTCACTACCCTTGTTCCTTTGCTTCCCTCCTTCCCTCGCCGCGCCTCTTTCCCTAAAAATCTCCTCTCTCGAGCTCCTCTATTCCGTGGTTCTAGTAACTAGCCCTTGTTTCTGGTTGTTTTTGGTGATTTCTGGTGGATGTTGTAGTGAGCTTCCACTCCTCTCCCTCCTCTCATTTTTTTAGATCGGTTTGGTGGTTTTGCGCAGTCTGTGTTCTGTGCGGTGGTTCCTCTTCTTTGATTTCGATTGGTTGTTCTGGTGGCTTTCTATTCTTCCTCTCCCTCTCCTCTCCCTAGGAATCTCCTCTTTTGTTCCTCATAGTGTCTACATGGTGGTCACTCTTCTTCCTCTCTCCACTGTTTTGATATTCTCAGTGCTATCTACTAGTTGGTTCTTGATTTTGCAATTGGGCGTAAAGGTTCAAGTGTGGTGGTTTTTTATTTTGCAATTTGGTGGTTTCGACACTCTCCTTTTTGCTTTCAATGGATGTTGGCTTTTCGGTTTGGTGGTTTTCGGTGTGATATGCTTGGAAGATATTTTTACTTCTTTATGTTGCATCCTGTTGATGGATTTGGTTATGTGAAAAGTTTGGTTTTGTGGTGCTGTTTGCATATGCGAATTAGAATATAGATGGTGTTGGTTGGAAGTGCAAGTGAAAAGGCAATAGAAATTGTTGCCTTATCTACCATGTGGTTATTTATTTTTCAATTGCTTGTGTGCAAGAACTTGTTTAGTTGTTCTCTCTATTCTCCTAGCGTTCATCGTTTTTTGGTGGATGTTGGTTTTTTAGTTTGGTGATTTTCAGTGTGATATGCTCAGTACGTCACTTTGCTTATTTATACTGCACCCTATGATGATTTTGATTATGTGAAATGGTTCGTTTGGTGGTGATGTTTACATATGTGAATTGGAACATACAAGGTGGTGGTTGGAAATGCAAATGAAAAGGAATACAAATGTTTGCTATGCAAATTGATGGTGGTAGTGTTTGCATATGCAAATTGGAATCATAGATGGTGAGGATTTGAAATGGAGGTAATGTTGTTGCCCGAATTATTTGATATCGTTGCAAGAAATTTGGTTGATGTTATTGCCCCAATTTTGGTTGAGGTGTTCATCATGTTGTTGGTGTGTGGGTGTGCTGAGGTGGTGGTGGTAGTATTGTGGATGTTTTGGTTTGTTGATGCCTTGGTGTGTGGAGGTGGTGGCAGTGGTGTAGTGATGGGTGGGTGGTGCGATGGTCTGGTGTGGAGGTGTTATGCACGTTGTCGGAGGAACAGTGGTGCTGCTATTGTGAAATTCTTTTTTTTCTCTGAGATGCGTTCAATATTTTTTATGGCAAATATTTATGTTGATTAGTTTATTTCATGCTAGTATACACAATGGTTAGGACCAAAGAGGTCAGTTCATCCGCAACGTGGGAAAAAATACAAAAATAATATTTTGTGACTTTTGCTTCAAGGAGGTCGAATTGAGAAATAGGTCGGCAACCTATTTAAACAAGAAAGATTGACAAAATATTATTAAAAATTCCAATGACAGTACATACAGGGATTATGATAGAATACATTTAAAAAACAAATGAGATCAACTTAAAAATGATTAGAAAATATGAAAAGAATTGAAGCGAGGAACCAAAGACTTGGGTTGGGTTTTGATAAAGCGAATAATTGATGTCACGAAGGAGTGGTGAGCAAAGAGATTGGGGTTGAGCATTTTTTAAACATTCGTTGCTTTTGTTAATTTTTCATTTTTTTTGTTTCAAATGCATCAACATGTGCTATCACTTCGTAGGTAGTGTCAGCTGCAAAAAAATTTAAATACTGGCATCAATTTTGAGTTAGAAGAGAAGTTAGATCGTATGTTTGGTGATGTCGTGGTAATAGACAATAATACATGCACACCTAGTGATGCCAATTTTGGTGGCATAGCTGAAAACTTGGCTGCATAACAAACCCCCGACCCGAGCCTCCATGAAGTTGAGTCCACTGTCAGATTTCACTGTTAGTGGTTTCATGCATCGATAACCCCGACCCATCACAAGCAACTTCTGTCCAGCAAGTCATACGTATTCTGGAGGCAACTCCAGAAATTTATAAGGACATGTGATACACCCTTTTTCCAAGTGTGCTCACACTTTGGGGTCTCAAGCAAGTGTGTGTGTTGTATTAGTAATATCGGAATTTTGAGTTTGGAATATCGATCCCACGGGGAGTGAGGGAATTAGACTTAATAGAAGTTCTATCCTACTAGGTTCAGTTCTAGCCTGGAATTGAAATTAAGTTAAGGTTCAACAAACTACTACTGAATTACAATCAAGTTTTAAAGATTAATGGCCCGTTTGGTGAGGCTTAATTGGTGCATTTGCATTTTGAAAACGCAGCCCGAGGCATTTGTTTCGTGCATTTCGGCCGCTTATCCAAAAATGTCGTTTGTGTTTTATAATAAATGTGGTGTGGTCAACCCTGCGGCCCGCATTCTTACCTATGAAAGTTACGTGCTTGCCTTTTGTTCCTCGCTCGACCACCGTTTTGCCCTAGGTGTCTCCTCGCTTGCCTCTGTCCCTCGAACACCACTATCTTGTGATTAGTGGTGCCTTCCACTTCTTCCTCCTCCCTCCGACCTCTGGTTACTGTGCTCTGTAATTAATTTCGATGGAATGCCCTTCTATATGCAATTTGTGATGGTTTATCGATAAAATGGTATCTCTAAAGGGTTTTCCGACGAAATGGCTTTCTTTGCCGAATTTTTTGATTTTTTGATAATTTGGAGAATGGGTGAAAATGAATTAGGGTGACTGTGGTAGGTGAAAGTACAATTTGGCTTGCTTATTGCGGTTTGTGGTCTTTGGCTTGCTTTTTGTTTATTGTGGTTTGTGGTCTCCAGAAGAAATGAAATGAAATTTCCTATATATGTGCTAGTTCAATGGCTTTCTCTTTTTTGTTTATGGTTGTTTGCTCCATCTGGTTTCTAGTTTAAATGGGTTAGACTTGGAATTTCCTTTTTGTCGTGACATTTGAAGGTTGAGTTGCTCATTTTGTTCCACGGTCTGTTGGTCTTTGTGGGTTGCACTATTGCATTTGATGCTTCATTTTCTGTAATGGGTTTCCCTGTTGCATTTGTTGTTCTATGGTCTATTGGTCTTGGATCTTTGTGGGTTGCCCAATGGAAGGTTGGTCTTGGTGGGTTGCCTTATTGGGTTGCCTTATTGCATTTGATGCTCTATTGTCTGTTGTGGGTTGCCCTGTTTCATTTGTTGTTCTATGGTTTGTTGGTCTTTGATCTTTGTGGGTTGCCCCCTATAGAAGGTTGGTATTGGTGGTTTGCCTTATTGGGTTACCCTGTTGCATTTGTTGTTCTATAGTCTGTTGGTCTTTGTGGGTTACTCTGTTGCATTTGGCGGCGGCTTGTTAGTGTGGTGGTTGTGGCTTGTTGGTGTGGTGGTGGTGTGTTGGGTGGTGACTGTGTTGTGGCTATGTGTGTGTGTGTGACTGTGGGGGTTTGTGGTAGTGTTGGTATGTATGTGGTTTGGTGGTGATGGTGGTGGTGGCTTGTTAGTGTGGTGGTGGTGGCTTGTTAGTGTGGTGGTGGTGGCTTGCTGGTGTGGTGGTGGAGATGTGTTGGGTGGTGGCTGTGTTGGGTCTATGGGTGTGTGTGTGACTGTGGGGATTTGTGGTAGTGTTGTTCTGGTTGTGTTAGTATGTATGTATTGGAGTGATGGTGGTGGTGGCATGTTAGTGTGGTGGTGGTGACTTGTTGGTGTGGTGGTTGAGGTGCGTTGGGTGGTGAATGTGGGTGTGTGTGACTGTGCGGTGTGATAGTGTTGTGGTGGTGGTGGCTTGTTAGTGTGGGGGTGGTGGCTTGCTGGTGTGGTGGTTATTGTTGGATCTTCATTGAAAGGTTTTTGTTTATTTTATAAAATCTATGTTTATTTTATGTCACTTGTTTTATTGATATTTTTTATTTTACAATTTTCACGAAATTTTGTCGATGTTTTTTTTTTCCAATTGCATTTTATTTGTTTTTTTTTGTAGGTTTTTGAGATCTATGACAAGACATTTGATCTTATGGGTTTTTCTGACTGACCTATTGGTCGTTGTTGGTTAGTGTCACATGTAAAATTCTAATGAAGGCAACCATGTTCCTCTCTTCTTTTCGGTGCAGCGTTTTATGAGGACCTTATGGATTGCCTTTTTTGGCAATATACTGATGTGACACACAGGAGGTTGGTTTTACATGGGTTAACGGCAACCAAAAACCTTTATTTTACAAGGTCTACTATCTTCTTGTAGTGACAAATTTGTTGGTTAATGTAATGAGTTCTCTAATACCTCA